TTTTTTTTTTTTTTTGATTTTCGAGACAGAGTTTCTCTGTGTAGCTTTGTAGACCAGACTGGCCTCGGACTCACAGAGATCCACCTGCCTCTGCCTCCCTAGTGCTGGGATCAAAGGCGTGCGCCACCACTGCCTGGCTTGGCCTCCAGGTCTTATGATTAAAATTAGAAAGTACAAAACACTGGGTGGCATGATACCCATAATTTTCTCATTCTATTCTCAAGGGGCTCAGAAAACACTACTGCAAAGACTTGTGGACATGGACAGCTGAGCCATTTGCCACTTGCTTGCTGAGAGGAGAGGCAAGACAAATGGGGCAAACACTGTCTTAAGTCAGACCTGGGCCGCTTGGCTCTCCACCAAGAAGCACTCAGTAACAGGTATCCCTTCCACCTGTCAACTGTCGATCCTGCATTGAAGGTCTCATGTGAAAGAGTGGCTGAGTTTGGTTCATAGGTACTGGGAACACGGACTTTTGTTGAGACAGTGTCTCCCATCTCCCAATACTGCTCAGCCTAGCCTTGAAGTCTCAGGTCAAGCACTCTTCCCACCCACGTCTCCAGAGTGGCTGGGACTGCAGATGTACACTAAAGACAGGGTGCTCTTCAGCTTTCCTCTCTCTCCCTCCCCTCCCTCTCTTTCTGAGACAAGGTCTTACTACACTGCCAAGACTGGACTGGAACTTACAGAGATCTGCCTGCCTCTGTCTGCTGAGTGCTAGGATTAAAGGTGTACTACCATGCCTTGCAACATCAGATTTAGCAGCCTCAATCAAATACTGTTTACAATGTTTCAAAAGTATGTCTAGAATTCCATCAGACAATTCGCTTGTGGGGATTCTGGGATTCCCTAAGGGGGTGGAGCTGGTATAACCTCTCTACCAGGAAGGAGTGAGTTTAAAGACGGGGAGCATGGAAGGTTCTACTTAGGGGAAACATGGCTGGGTCACAGGAATACATTGTGGAAGCTGTCACCAAAGATCTTGCAGAGCCCAGCTCTAGAGGCTTGGGCAGGAAGGGCAGAGGCCAACAGGGTACTCCTTCCCAGGGGGCATGAGCATCTGTTCTGAAAATGAAAAACTGCAGCATGCACCCCGGACAGGAAAGCAAATGCACATGTCCTCTGTGGTATGCCATTAGCCCGTAGTCAAGGCAAGCAGATTTTCAAGCACTTTAGACCTTAGAAATGCCAGGGCAGATACCAATGCTCCCCAAGTATGGGGACCCATCATCCCCACAAGATCTAGCTTACATGTCTTATTTCTCCATTCTCTGCTACCAGGTCCGAAGAAAGCATCTGCTGAGACTAGGGTAAAGTGGAGAAAGAACTAGCCCTGCCCAGCAAGGGAACCCCAGGGCAGCAGCTTCTTGAGTTCCAGGCCACAGTGGGCTCATTCTGCTATCGAAGCTTGGCTGGAATATCTGCAATTCCCTCCTCTCACTGCCCTGGGCTTTTATGAGGCCTATAGCTCTCCATACCCATTGTATTGGTACCTGAACACTATCCTCAAAGAGCTCCAAGCTGTCACTGGACCCTAAAAACCAATTCTCATATTCCGTGACCTGGTTCCCCTCACTTAGGTCTCCATTGCCTGAGCTTATTTGCACAACTCCACTCCTGCCTTCCACCAACATGGGCCCCAAAATCTCACATGGCATAGCCTGACCCCATAATCTGCCTTCTACATTGTGACCAGACAATCAACAAAGGCCAAGAAGACAGTTTGGTGTAGCCCACCTGCTGGAACTGGCCCTCAGAAACGCCATCTCTGTAGAAGATGATGCGGGTGGGCTTGAAGCGTGTTGATTTGTAGAACTGAATGAGCAGCTCCCGAACCATGGCGGCCAGGTCCTGGATGATCTCCTGTCGGTGCTGCTGTACGCGCACGGTGGCGCAGTAGCGGTTGGGGTGTGCGTCCATGCTGCCCACAACCTACGAGACATACAGTCAGCAGATGACAAGGGCTTCAGAAGTCCCTCTTCTAGGGTCCTGCTGGACAGCCTATGAAGAAACATCTCCCCACAATGTCCTTCACAGCAGAAAGTCATGCTAAGTACCTTCTAAAGGTGGGATACTTGCCCCAAAATACCTAAGAAAAGGCAAAACTAAACTGGCTGAGCATTGGTGTCGCACACCTTTGATTCCAGCACTCATGAGACAGAAGGAGGCAGATTTCTGTGAGTTCCAGACCAGTCTGGTCTACAGAGCGAGTTGCAGGACAGCCAGAGGGGTTATACAAGCAACTAGGGATGCTTCTAGTGTCTCAAGAGCAACCACCTCTCCAAAAAGCCATATGCACCCTGAAGATTTTTTATCTCCAGACTTTGGTCCCCAGGAAGCTCACAGCCCCTTGAAGCAAGCTGTTCATGGGGGTCATCTGAAGGAGCAAACCAGACAGCCAGAACGCAAACCATGATACTTCAGGGTTCTAAGATCAGGGCCCAAGGGTAACTGAGCAGCTACAGCTAGGGCCTGCCCACTTCCCAGCTGTACTTTCAGATGGCTAAAGGATGGGCCAGTCTTGTGTCCCTGGAAAGCAGGTGACCTGCTACTCCTCTGAGAAGTTTTACACAGCAATGTCTCTAGGCCTTCCCAGAACTCCTTGTTCTAGACCCTGCTTGGGGTTACGGTTTTCCTCACAAACCTACAGTTTCCCTCTTATACACTGTGAAAATAAACAGACCCTGAAATATTTCAAGTTGGTATAAATAGAAAGAAATCAACCTGAGTAGAAACCTGTTCCTACTGATTGAGAACTGCAAGCACCAGGTATAAACACAGAGGTTTCTGCCCCTGAGATTTGATAAGCCTGGCTCTGGGGCCTAATCTTGGTTGTCAACTCCCCAACTTCTGAAATCAACTTAAGCCCAAGTAGCTGGGCAAGCCTGTGAGGGATTTTCTTGATTGCATCATCAGAGGGGGGAAAGACCCACCCTAAATCTGAGTCACACCTCTTAGTGGCAGCCTTTTGCTTTTTGCCTGCTTGCCCAAACTCTTATTGGGTTTGTCCATCCTGTTCTGCAGGCAGATGCCAACTTAGACTGAAAACCAGCAACTGGGACTGAACATCCAGCCTCACGGACTGAACTACTGATTGTTTTCAGCCTTTCCATTGTAAGACTGAATCTTTTAAGCGGGTCCAATAAAACTGTGTCTGTACCTATGTGTGCATGTGTTTCAGACTAACACACTGGCCTAAGCCTCCAAAACGTACAGCAAGGGCCTGTGCACAACAACCCAGGAAAAAACAAAAAAGCCAATGGTGACCAGGTAGAGCCCAATGTGGCAAAAGACCTGGGATCTTGGCTCTAGACACCACATGCAATCCAAACCAGAGAACTGTGCCTGGCACACACTGGGGGCTCCTTCCAGTCTGAGAGTTGGAATTGGGTCCTGACTATATGGCCCCCATATGCCATCCTTTAAGACAGATTAAACAATGATGTTAAGTCTGTTTAGCACCTGCTGTATGCCAGGCACTGAGCAAGAACCTCAAATCCTTTCACAATCCCAAAGCCGACAGCAGCATAGGTAAAAAGCCCAGAAAGATTAATCCTAATTGCAGCAGAGAAACAGAGTGTGGCTTAAGGCTGAGGTTCAGCTGGGTGTAAGGCTCATAAAGGGTGCTGGGGCCCATTCTAATGGAGGCTGCTCCACACAGGGCCTTTCAGTCCCATTCCACACCAGGTGAGAACTTCTGAGACAATGATGATGGTGAAACTGATTGTACAAGAAGGCATTTGTGGGGATGGGACCCATGCTTCAGACAGATGAACAAAAAGAGCCTGTTGCTTCCTTCCATATTCTCATCTGCCCTGGCTCTACAGACTAGAGTCACAGTGAGAGGATGCCCTTTTCACTCTGCACTCCAAAGGGCCAAACTTCACTACTGGAGGCATGTGGCTGAGCTACATGAACGGACAGGACACGGCAATCTTCTGAGAGCAGAGGGAGTGGTTGCTGTGTTGATGGACGGGGGAAGCCCACCAAATGTACCACAGGCAGTAGGCTAGATGGCAGCCTACACCCTCCTGTGACATCCTCAGGGGATGTCACCCTTTTGCCATTAGATCATGATCTGACCAACCAATCGGGTGAAGTAAGTAAGCTAGCTCCATGTCATTCTCCTCACCACACCACTGCAAATAGACCACTGACACTTGAGGGCCAAGGGGCCCCCAGATAGCATGGTACCAGAAGAGAGCAGGAAGAAAGTGTGGACACTTACTGCAGCAATCGAAGGCTTCTTCCCATCCCCAGCTGGTGGGTGGGTGACATCGGCTCCCAGGAAGATGACAGGCTGCTGGAACACTGGAGGCCTATAAGAAAGTGGGTATTGGAGGCCCAGGCTTGGGACAATGCATGGATATCTGCCAGCATAAGTTATTTCTGTCCCTCTCTTGGAGGTGACCATAACCCCAAAATGGACATTTTCCAAAGGATCTTTCTGCCCCTACCCCAGTGCCTGGCTGGACGACAGGCATGAACCACCAGTCCCACCTGATTTATATACTGTGCAGGAGCCTGAACCCAGGGCCTCATATACGTTTACTTTACCAAGTGAGAGACATCCCCAGCAGCCCAACGGAATCCTTATCCTTAAAGATACACACAGAAAGCCCAGGAAGGTGGGAGCAAGGTCTGAGCATGCAGCTGTCTTGGCTGGGCACTGGGGGTGCCTTGTTTAAAGTACTCCAGGAACTCACCTGCCTATGGCTCACTCTCTTGGGGTTGCCAGAGCACAGAAGGAGTTTAAGTAGCATCCTAGACTGCCAATCCCAAATCCCAAATCCCAATACCCCAGGCATCATCTTTTATGGCTACCAATTCTGGCTGAGGTCGGTGGTGTATATAGTGAAGGCAGGGGAGACAGAAACAACGATAGCCCTGCATGCACCACCCAGAGGACTACCAGTGTTAGTATTCAGGCATCTGTCCTGACTTGCCCTTGGGGTTCTGACAGGATACACCCTCGGCTGCATCCATTAAGAGCACTTCCTGTGTATATTCACTACTTTCCCTTTTAAAAGGGCCATGCCCCCCTCATCCCTCCCCCTTCCCCCCTCTTGTCCCCAGTGACCAGTCTCTGCCCTCTTCTCCTGTCCCTTCTCTCTCCTGTTCCAATACATCTATGTGAGTCCTGTTGTATGGTATGACTTCTCTTGGAGGTGTTTTTTTGTTTGTTTTTAAATTACAATACCAGACTTGTCCTGCCTCTTGTATCGTAGAGGCCTGTCACTAGGAGCAGCTCCTATTTTCATTTCCGTTGTGACTGCTCTTCTAACAAGAATGCAAAGGCCAGGGGCACATAGGCACACCCACTGTCTGCCACAAGCAACCTTGTGGCTGCTGCTTATAGCGGGAGAGGGTATTTGCTGTGGACATCAGAAAGGGGTTCAGCCATCCTGCAATTTTTCTTTTTTTCCCTTTGTTTTGAGACATAGTCTCATGTATCCCATACTGGCCTTGGACTTCTGATCCTCCTGCCTCTCAAATTCTGGGATCATAAGAATATACCTCCACATCTGGTTCCTGCAATTCTTATCAACAGCCAGGCCTCACATATCCCCTTAGTGCCTCAAGAGACGGGATTCTTCTAAAGATGGCCTGAGGCTATCACAAAGACGCAAAAGACAATTTGACACCTGTTAGCAGAGAAAGGTAAAGTGGCCAGAAGGGCATCATTGTCCCTAAGTGTGTGGAGACTGACTCCTCCAGACGGTATTTTCTGTGTAAGACCCTAGCAACCATGACACTAGCTGAGCATATCTCTACCTGAGGTGACTTCACATCTGCTGAAAGAAACGGCCGCTCAGAGGGGAGTACATCTATTGCACGCTGTCATCTCCCAATCAGCCAGACTCAGCCAAGGCCTAGGGAGTGACCATAACAGGAATTCTCCTGGACAATCCCCCTAGCACCCACTCAGGACATAGCCACAGAGGAGAGAAAGTACTTCATGAGTGTGCATCTCTGTACCCTTTCCAGCAAGAGAGGAGGGCAAGTGTTAGGGAAGTTACCTGTCACCTCTAAGACACAGATAACTTATGACACTGTGGTCCTGATAACCACACTCAAATTGCCTCTGTCCCCTAGTCTCACTGTCCTCTGATGGCAGTTAAAAGCAGGAGCTGGGTGCTATACTGCAGACCCTGATCACCACCTGCCACCACCAAGCCACCCAGCAGGCACAGCCAGGTAGCAGTTGTATTCCTACACGTGGGTGGATATGACCACCTGCCATAAGTAAAGGCACACCTGCCCTTGGCTTCCTCTCATCTTTCATCTGTAGCCCATCAAAGCTTCCCATGAGCCCAGCCTGCTGCTCCCTCCCAGGCCCCTCCTAACTCAACTCCATGCTGTCATGGCAACAAGATTCCTCTTTCAAGATCTCCAGGGACTTCCACATCACTGGGTCCAATGATCAAATCACCAGTGTGGCTCACTGGCATTTTGTTGATGCAAGACACACTTTTCCTTGAGTGGCATGACTCGGATGCCTCCCCTCCTTGCCTCCTCCTCTTACTGTCTACTACCAGTGTACCTGAATTTTACCCTGAACACAGGGCTCAGATCTTCTTGCCATTCATTCAAGAGTGCTCATCCAGCCTCAGGGTTTTTTTGTTTTTTGTTTTTTTTTTGAGACAGGGTTTCTCTGTAGGTTTGGAGATTCTCCTGGAACTTTCCTTGAAGACCAGGCTGGACTGGAACTCACAGAGATCTGCCTGCCCCTGCCTCCCGAGTGCTGGGATTAAAGATGTGTGCCACCAACACCGGCCAGCCTCAGGGTTTTAATACCAGAGGACTCCTGGGCTCTGACAATGAGCCTCCTCCTATCTCCTGATGCAGGCCAGAGTCCATTCCTCTTTCATGAGGGCCCTGACTTTGACATTAACTAGACCAAGAGCTTGGGAGGACTGTCATTCTCCCCCTTCAGTCTCTTCAGTCTAGTCCACCTGTCTCTATCTCCAAAACAACCTGGGCACTTCATCCTGCCTGCCCCCACTCAGCCTGCCACAGGCAGGCACAAAAGGCATCCCGAGTCCATGCCACACACAGCCACAGTCAGTCCCCCAGAACACAGGCCTGTCTATCATTCCTGTGGTCATTCTTTTCTTTTGCCTCCACTACAGGCCCACATTTCAAGGAAAGGCAGACATTAACTTTGGCCTTGTCCCCTAACCCCTCAGGAAGGATACACATCCCCAGACCTTAGTCCTATGGGGCATGCTGGCAGCCAGTGCTTGGCCTGGACCAGGCACTGGACCCAACAACACTGGCTCCTACATAGAGCTTTCAGTTCAGAATGCTCTGATCCCAGCAGTAAACTTCCAGTGAGAAATTGAGAAATACTGGCACCTACACTGCAGTAATGCTCTAGGGACCAGCTGACAAGTATGGAAGCCCATTTCCTGGCCATTCCAAATGAACCCATCTTGACCTCACTCTCACAACTTTTTGTTTTGTTTTGTTTTGTTTGTTTTTCAAGACAAGAGTTTCTCTGTAGCTTTGGAGCCTATCCTGGAACTAGCTCTTGTAGACCAGGCTGGTCTTGAACTCACAGAGATCCACCTGCCTCAGCCTCCCGAGTGCTGGGATTAAAGGCGTGCACCACCAACGCCTGGCAATGACTCTCACAACTCTTAGTGGAGCTTGCTGGCCCCAGTACAGGAAGCAGGGGCTGCAGTAGCCCCACACTAATCTTCAACTATTAGGGAGTCCAGCCACAGCATTCACCCACCCCAGGAGCCCCTGGTTCTGAGGGGCCTGGGACTCATCCCACTATGGACACCTCTCAACTGACCATCCAAACCAGCTGGTGTATGTGCAGGGTGCAGCCACCTCACCTGCCCTGTGGCAGCAGGATGTTGTTGACGCCTCCCAGTTTGACATTGATTTTTAAGCAGAGATTGGACAGGGTCTGTGGCGTGGTCCTCTGCACATTCTTCATCTGTACGCATTGTGTGGCCATCCCCAGCACTGTGTCTCCCACACGCTTGACTTCAGCTGTGGAGCAGAGGTGCACATGTCATAGCTCCCAAAGAGAATCAGCTGTCTTCTGCCCCCAATTTGGACTGCATTGGTACAATGTTGAGCCATGGCAGCTGCACCAGGCATCCACACTCAGTCTATGGAAGATGCTGGCAGGTGGAGGGGCAGAATCCCGCTTTAGCACTGCCAGCGACCCGTGCCTGCCTTATCCTGGAGGCACATTTCACATCACCCAGCTATAACTGAAGCTCTGTCATTCCTCAGCAGGAATGACACCTGTTAAGCAAATGCCTGGGTAGCTAAAAATAAAAGCATCGGCCTCTTCAAAACCTTTGGCAAACACGGGACTAACATTAAAGAGCTGTAGGGATCCATACTCCCTCATCTCCAGATTCCTTAGGCAGCTGGTCACTGTTCCTCAGGCTATTCTAGAAACCAGGACTCCAGGGGGCAATACTTATCGCATTCAAACACTATTGAGTGAGAAAGCCTTTTTCAACTTAGAGGGAGAAGCATGGCCTTCGTGAGTCTGTAATCTGCCTGTGCTGGATAGACTAGGTCTCTACTGGCAACAACCATCAAGAAGCTGCAGTTGCTTTTCTTGGCTCCTGCACCACCAGATCTCACACCAACACCCTTTTGACTGGAAGCCTGTGGGGCAATTGTTTTCACCTTGCAGACCTCTCCACACAGCCTCCCTGCCCCATCCCAAGGCCTCCTGAACAGAAGGCTGTACCTGATTCACTCCCTTTCTCCAGTATTAGCAGGCTGTGCACTGATGAAGCAACTACCCTCTGACATAAAGAAGCCCACCCTTGTCTGGGGTGGTAGCAGGGATCATACATGTTGACTGAATCCTGGGGAATCAAGCCAGTGGGGTTTCTCAGTGAACAATGGCATATTAGGGGACCCTCTTACACCTGCCAACACTTATTGCCACAGCATGAACATAAAACCAAGCCTAAAGCCACCTTGAGTCACTAGATTCCTAGGACGGTGACTTCATGAAAGACAATAAGGACAGCTCAAAACACTGGCTTGAGCAACCAGACTTCCTTCTCCCCTCTCAGGCTCAGGACTGGGCAAAAAACAACTATTCAGTTCAGTCAACACAAAGGGGAACAGAACAGGCAACCTACACCCATTGACACTGCCTCAACTCCCTAAAGCCTGCAGACAGCTGACACCTACCATACACAGGAGTTTTGCCAGGCAGGATGACCACCACCAGCTGCAGGCCAGCGTATGTATTCTTCAGGTGCCGGAACATAGGCTCCACACTGTCTGCCCCTTGCGCATATTTACAGAAGCAGGGCTGACCCTGGATAGGCATCCCGGCATCTCTCGAGATCTTCCTCAGTTGCTCTGTGAAGGACCTGAGGGAAAAGGCAACCTTGCTGAGATGTATAGCAGATGGTAAGGAACCCATACAACTAGGGGCTCTAAATAAGGTTTACAAAGTAAACAAAACAAAACAAAAAAAAACAAAAAAAACCACAAAAAAACACACACACAAAGTTAAAAAGCATGTTGCTGGGCACTGGTGGCCCACACCTTTAATCCCAGCACTTGGGAAGCAGAGGCAGGTGTATCTCTGAGTGAGGCCAGTCTGGTCTACAGAATGAGTTCCAGGACCGTCAGGGCCACCCAGAGAAACCCTGTCTTGAAAAAACAAATGAACAACATGCTTACAGAGGTTAGAATTAAGCGTCTTCAGGGCTGGGAATGCAGCTCAGTGGACAGAGTGCTTGCCTAGCATGAATAAGGTTTGATCCCCAACACTGCAAATTCCAGGCAATGGTGGGGGATGCCTGCAACCTCATAATTTTAGTCAGAAGAGTCTACAGTTCAAGGTCATTCATGGCTACACACCAAGTTCTAGGCTAACCTGGGACACATGAGCACATGAGACTCTGTCTAAACAAAAAAGAATTAAGTTTTTTTTTTTTTTTTTTGCTTTTGGTAGCACAGGCAGGCTTCAAATTCGGGATTCTACTGCCTCAGCCTGAGAGCCAGGGATAGGTGGCAGGCACCATACCATGCTAGAATTAAATCTCAGATAAAGTCAGAAATCAAAACTATATCAATCCGTGGAAGGGGTGAGTGGGCTACACACCCATATAAGGCCCAGGGATGACTATGCGGAGATAAAAAGGAAGGCATAAAATGCATGCTTGATGCCCCCCCCCTCAGTGACACAGTGTGGGTTTTTGTGTCATGCAGGCCTAAGCAACCCTCTGCTAGGACTCTGGTAAAACAGACACCATTAGCTGTTTTGTGGGTTTTCCCTGCTGTTCTGCTGGGTACAACCTTGGAGACACAGACACAGGAGAAAATAGAAAAAGTGACATCCAAGGCAAGTTAGGTGACCCGAGACTGATTGTGGCTATGCTAGCTCCAGAGTAAGAACACGTCCAATCAGCAATAAGGTTCCTATCTAGCAGGTCAGTATCCACCTTCCCATACATTGGATTTACAGAACCCATGTGTGTGCATAAGCCAACAGGTGGGTGTGTCTCTGGACAGAGGTCAAGGATGGAAGATGGGCAGGACATGGCTAGTACCCAACCTCTGCTCTGAGCTTCAGGCTTCTTTTGCTAGAAGCATATGTCATCAATCAGTGGATGACAGCCTCCAGCCAGTGAACTCTGCCTAGCACTGGACAGCTTCATTGAATGGCCTCTAGCTGAACTGGTCAGGTGACAGCTACACGGTGCAGGCTTTGGGGTCCTCCCTTTCCTGCCCCAAGAAAAAAAAAAAAAAAAAAAAAAAAAAAAAAAAAAAAAAAAAAAGTCCCATTTTCCCTCTAACCTTGGAACAAAAATACAACCCTATGAGCCCCAGGGCACATTCTTGTTCTCACTGGTCAAGGTGGCCATGCCTAGGTTCCCCTACCACTGGCCCGACAGTTTTCTGAGCTGAAGAGCAGGCCCCTCTGAAACCCACTGTATCTGTCTGCCCTCAACTACTGGGAAGGTGGCGAAGCACATGCCAAAGCTTGCTGGGTTCACTGTAACCCTCCCCTCACACAGGAGAACAGCTGCCGTTCCCAGTTCTATTGCTGCCCTGTTCTACAAGCTCTTCCCAGCCTAGTTCCCAGTTTTCCCCTTCATGTAATTCAGGCATTTCACAGTAGCACTAGTGAAAAAGATGTGGTGAAACATTATTTATAATTTATTAAAGCTTGCCTGAGGATTCAGAAAGCAGAGTCAGCCTCAAGCTATAGTGATAAGGCAGTGGTGGCACATACCTTTAATCCCAGGACTCAGGAGAAAGGCAGATGGATCTCTCTGAGTTCAAGGCCACTCAGGGCTATATAAGATTGAGTCAATCTAAAAGAATAACAGAGCTCACACCTTTAATCCCAGCACTAGAGAGATAGAAAAGATAGGAGCAGGGTCTTCAGTGTTCAGTCTCATTAGTCGCTAGCCACATTGAGGAAAGCATAGCAGTCTGAGTGAATCTGAGAAGCAGTCTGAGTCACCTCTTTGGTCTGAGCTGAGGTAGAGGTAAGAGCTGGTGGTTGGCTGCTTTGCTTTTCTTATCTTCAGCTTGAAGACTGAACCCCGATATCAGTCTCTGGGTCTTTTATTTATCATGCTACAAAAAGGTGCTCCATGAAAATCTGACAACCTGAGTTTGATCCCTGGAACCCACGGGGTGAGAAGAGTGAACCAACTTTCTCAACTTAGCCTCTGACATCCACATGCATGCTGCAATGGGTATAGACATATCTACCCTGCCACACAAGCAAATAAATGTAACCAAAAATTTTTGGCCAAGCATGGTGGCATGCACCTTAATCTCAACATTCGGGAGGCAGAGGCCCGGTGGATCTCTGTGAGCTCAAGGCCAGCCTGAGTTGATATAGTGAGTTCCAGGACGGCCAGTTACATAGAGACATTTGGGGGGAAAAGGAAAAAGAAATCCTCGAGTGAAGTGTCCACTTCTACTTCCATGGTGACTAATGTCTTTTGAGATGGAGTCAAGTGTTACCCAGACTGGCCTCAAACTCTGGGATCAAGAAAATTTTGCCCCTCAGCCTCTTGAGTAGCTGCCCCCATGCCACTCTACCTGTACTTTTACACTGTTTTTGTTTTTGGTTTTTTTTGTTGTTGTTATTTTCTGTACTGAAGACTGAGCCCAGACCCCTGTATGTGGTCAAATGCTCTACCACTGAACTGGTATTGCCTGCACTTGTTTGTATTTTAACCTCAATGCTCAGATACTCTGGACTCATCTCATCTCTTTTGTTCTGGGAGTCAACCTGGGTAAGTAGTCTTTGTTAGAGAAAGGCTGTCAACCACTGACATTAGAACCCCACAAGCCATCTAAAGACCAGGCACATGGAGATCTCAGGCAGGCTTACTTCAGATGAACTTCTGTGCACTGGCGCTGGGGTGCAAAGCAGGCGATGGCCCACACCTTGATCTCGATGCCTGTGTGGAACTGCTTGTTTCTCATGTCCCACACACCTTGGACAGGGGTGGCGATCGCCTTGTTCTGCAAATAGAAATTGGTTTGGGGTAAGGAAACAAATGCTAACACTCTTGCTGCTGGTCCAACTGACCAACGATGACTCCTAATGCCCAGGCCATGACTGTTGTGTTGTCCCCATCTCTCTAGGACCCCCTAACTAGCACTGTAAGCAGCCGACACACTTGTACAGCATGGTGGGTTCTGGATGGAGGGTGGCAAGCTAGATGAGAAATGATTTTGTTATGGAATTTCTGTCAACGGTCCACTAGCCAATTAAGAGCAGCGTTTGGTCAGTTTTCATTAGGAATGGACATGACTGAATGAAAAAGCGAGGGAGATAGATGTGTGTAGTCTTTTTTCATCCCCGAGCACGATACTGGCATTGAGCCAGCCCCACCGCCCTCTGTGTTCCCCATGTTCGCCCTGGTTATTCCCATGTGCACCTGCCCTGCAGCCCTGGCGGTCTAGGAGCTTGTAGCTCTTTGCGCCCAGCCACCCGGACAAGTTCTGGTCCTTGAGCAACATTCGATGTATTCCCCTCCCCCCAGTAAGGCTTTTGCTGGGCTCAAACACTGGGGCAGAATCTGGTCCCGCCTTTTGAGCATCCACTCAGCTGCTGACTCATCTGCCTTAGTGCCCCGCCTCCTCCACCTGCTGGTCAGTGTCACTACATCTAAATATCTTCAGTCCTCCAAGCATCGTCTCCACCTGCTGGTCAAAGGGGGATAGATATTTTTGCATATTGTTACAAATTTGAGGCTATCGTCCTTATACTGCACATCTGTTTCCACTTTTGCTTAAGGTATCATCTATACAGCTGGTACCTATACAGCTTGTTTATTTTTGCAATGTGGAGTTTTAGTCCTTACAAGCAATATAGGATAATAAACAGATACAGGCTAATAGTCACCCATAATTATCAAACTTATAGTCATATTAGGTAGGTTTTCTAGGCATACATAGATATGTTTCAAATAGATAGGTAATCGTCAAACACTTCAAAGACCTGCAGAATATGGCATTTCAAACATTTTAATAACTTAAGACTTTTCTTGACACGAGACATGTCTGCTTCTGCCAATACCAATTTACTTCTAAAGAGGATGTTGAGCACTAAAGGCATTCCATATGGAGTTTGCTTTCTTTCTGGCACAAGCCAACTTTTAGGGCAAGAAAACTGCCCTTGTCTTGATGGCTATAAGTATGTACACTGTCTGGATTGGACAAGCAGGACACAAAGAAAGGCAACTGCCAAACTTTGTCAAGACAGGGTAGGATAGTCCTTCAAAATTTCCTGCTTCTGAAAAAAGTTTGTCAGATATTCTAGGTCTGTAGACCAAGGTTGGATGCACCTCAATATTGCAGAGGAAACTGGGGTGACTGTCCAAGCAGCCACCTTTTTCTGTCATTTCTCATTTTTTGGAAACCACTTGCCTATACTTCCTAGTTACTCTGGTAATATTATTTTCCTTCACAGGTCTTTGATGGGGTTGAAGACTAGACAGAGTGACAGTTCTCCCAAATCTTGGCAAAATTTTGGACTCTTCAGGAGAGGACAGCTATTGGAGGAATGGCTATAATTTTGCCAAGTCCTTATGGACTTGACATTTAGAATGCATTTCTTAATAAGTGCTCTTGTATGTGATTTCATTTTTGTTAAGGTTATTATCTTTCCTTTCTATCTGAACAACACTTGATAATAATTCTTATTGTATATAGTTTATTATGTTAGGGATAGAGGCTTTTCTTCTTCATTAGACAAAATGGGGGAAGGAAATGTTACAGAATTTCTGTCACTGGTCTGCTAGCCACTAAAGAGCAGTGTTTTCGTCCAAGGGGCGGAGTTTTCATCGGGAATGGAGTGACCAAATGAAAAGGTGGGGTGGAGAGACCACACAGGACCTTTCGGACAGGGAACGAGCAGTGTATTCAGTGGCTGTGGCTCAGTTCCGATTCCCATTTGTCTTGTGATATTTGTGCACAGATTTTCTTACTAATAAATGGTAAAATAACCCATTGACCCTCCTTTTTCAAAAATAGAAGGCTGGACAGATGGTGAGCTGGTAGATGGATGGGAACGAGGAGAAAAATGGATAGAAGGAAGGAGTGAATAAATAAGTAGATGGAAGGATGGGATGAGTAGAGCTAGATAAGTGGATGAGGTTGAGTAGAATCAGATGAATGGATGGTAAGATGAAAAGATGGGGGTGAGTAGAGTCAAACACCATCTCAAACTCTAAGCCAGGTGATGGTGGTGCACACTTAATTCCAGCACTTGGGAGGCAGAGACAGGCTGATCTTTGTGAGTTCGAGGCCAGCCTGGTTTACAGAGCTAGTTCCAGGATAGCTAGGGCTGTTACACTGAGAAAGCCTGTCTCAAAAAAACAAAACAAAACAAACAGACAAAAACACCCCAAAACATCTTTTTTAAAGAAGGAAATGAAGTTTTGATGAGGTAAGACAGACTTTTAGAAACATTAAATGCAATGTGCAAACTTTTAAAAAGGGTATAGAAGATAAGAGTATTTGTCAGTACAGCAGCCATCTGCAGTGCCCAAGGGTTTACCCCACAGGTAAGGGTGGCTACAACCCCAAAACATACATGGCTATTCTCCCTGTTCCACACACACACACACACACACACACACACACACACACACACACACACACACCACGGCACTCATCTGTACCTACCCTGCCCCCATAGAGGATGGAGGGCGGCTGCAGAACACGCCCTGTCACATCTGTCATCTCATCTTTGACCATGATTCCAAATTCACGAACATAGGGGTCTGTATTGAAACTTGCACTTCGCATCTTGAGGAAGGAAAAAGAGAAAGAGGAGTCAGTGGTGGCCTCTCTGCTCCTTCCAAGGGCCATCTCTGCTCAAAGCACAGGAATGTGTTGAGGGGTATCCTTGCCATAGTGTCCCAGCCAGAAGGAACCTGAAAACCCAGTGCTCACCAATTTGCTGATCTCCTCTTGCCGATCAGGTGCAGACCTGGCAGTTGCTCTGATCATGGTTGAGGTCTGATTGTCGGTTAATTTTTTAATACATCTCTGTCCAGCCACTATGTTACAGACCTACAAAGAATACCCACATGTCAACACATGCACTGTGGTAGGGAGGGAGTTTTCAGAGGCTCACTACACAAGCCAGAGTCCTAGCCAGGGATGGGCTGCTCCATAGCCTACCACTCATAACAGAACTTCTGGGTAAACCTGGCCTGACAGATCTGTGTCCCTCAGCTTTGGTGGCACTACTAGGAACAGGGAGAGGGGACAATGGTGCCAATCTAGAGTCCTGGATTTGAGCTGGGCATAGAGTGGTTCACATCTGTTGTGCTGGCTAATCTTATGTCAATTTGACACAAGCTATAGTCATCTGAGAGGAGGGAACCTCAACTGATAAACTGCTTCCATAAGATGGGGTTATAGCCTGTACCGACCCCACACCCAAAAATAACAGTCTACACAGGAAACCATCACAGAGACCTCTTAAAAATCATGGTAAGGATGCTGAAGTATAGCCCCTCACAACAGAGGGCTTCTGGTGGGATGCAGGTAGGGAAAGACAAGTTTTCTTTAGTGGCTGGCTACTGGGAGTTTGACCACGAGTATATAGGCAACACAAATTAGACTTGTGTTGTTTTGTTTTATTTTTTTTTCCTTTTTTTGTGCAGTGTGGGGGGAGGGTCTCAAGGGTGAGAGGCAGATCTGGGAAGACGGGGAAGTGAATGTGATTGGGGGGGCATGATATGAAATTCCCAAATAATAAAAATATTATGAAGGGGGGAAAAAAAGGATCGGGTTGTAGGCAAGCTTCCAGGGTATTTTCTTAATTAGTGATTGATGTGGGAGGGCTCAGTCTATTGTGGTTGATGTCACCTGTAGACTGGTGGTCCTGAGTGCCATAAGAAAGCAGTCTGAACAAACCCCGGGGAACAAACCACAGTTAGCCGCACACCTTCATGGCCTCTGTATCAGCTCCTGCCTCCTGGTTCCTAACCTGGTTGAGTATCTGCTCTGATTTCCTTAGATGATGAATGGTGATGTGGAAAGGTATGTAAAATAAACCCCTTCTTGCCCAGTTGCTTTTGGTCATGATGTTTCATAACAGCAACAGAAAGCCCAAGGAAGACACCCTTCAACACAGGGCTCACAAGGCTGAGGCAGGTAAGATCTCTGAGGTGGGGGCCAGCAGGGTCTACATTGAGAATTCCAGGCCAGCCAAGGCTACACAGTGAGACCGTATCTAAGAAGGGGGGTGGGGAGGGAAGTCCCACTCAGGCTGCCAATCTCATGCCATTTTGGGAGAAGAGGTACACAAAGGGGACAGATCTCAACAATGCCATGAATTGGTTGGGTCCTACAGCACGAGTGAGGCCTGGCTGGACTGGGCTTCTCCTCCTCAATCAAGGGTGTAGTGCAGAGACTTGCCTCCAGAGGAAGGTAGGTGTGTTTCTGCTCCTGTCCAACTTGTAAACACGGGAGGTGGGGGTAGCGCAGAACCAGCTTATGTCTGTCCTTGAAGTACTGGGCCACTGTACACTCCACCGTCTGTCCACTCTCCTGCTGCAGTGGGAACCTGAAGAAAGAAGTGACTCAGGCAAGAACCTCCCAGGCTCCTTGGACACTGGAACTCCAACACACCTTTCCAGGAACAAGCATCTCTGGGACTATTCTAAAGCCCCTCAACTCTGTCTCTCAGGCTCCCCGTGCCTGTTGGGAAACAGCAACTACCTATGCATCTAAGAAACACACAAGTCACAGTTTCTACGAAACAATTCAGGAAGATGAGTCCAGAAAAGTCTGTTTCCCAGCAGACCCCAGTGACTCTAAGTAACTCCTAAACCCTAAAGATCCCAGTGCCAGAAGAAATTGAGGCCTTCCAGGTAAGAGCATGCTGGTCTCAGTCAGATCAAGGTTTTCCTTGTGGGACTGAGCAAGAGTAGATTACCAAGACATAAATAGGGGAGGTGAGCCATGTGCCACACACAGGTGGATGACGGCTCCCAGGTGGGACAGGTCATGTGGCTCAGCACTCCTGAACTGACTCTTCTGTCAAGACTGCCAGGTAATCTGTCACCTCTTGCGTAATGGGCAGGTGATGGGACCCAGATCCTGCTGCTGCATGAGGACTGGGTATCTTGGTACCCTAGCAACAGTCTGTTTTCTGTGAATGAACCAGTCAATTGTGTGCTTACCACTAGACAAATGACAGCATGATTGGACACTAGTTAAGAGACACTGTGTTAGCCCTTGCAACTGCCTCAGCCAGCAGGGCTGGTCAGCAGCCCACAGGTGTCCTTGCTTCGCCCAGACCTAAAGTCACATCCTCCACTCCCTTGCACATGTGGGATTTCTATGTTGGAATTCATGCTTGTTTTTTAAAAGACTTATTTTATGTATATATCTGCACATCCCAAGGGACCACCGTTATAGATGGTTGTGAGCCGCCACGTGGTTGCTGGGAAGTGAACTCAGGTCCTCTGGAAGAACGGTCAGTGTTCTTAACCTCCAAGCCATCTCTCCAGGCAGAGGCATCTTCGTGAGTAGTTTCAGGCCAGCCTGATTTAAACATTGAATCCCTATCTTAAAACAAAACCAAACAAAATGGGGGCTGGAGAGATGGCTCATAGGTTAAGAGTACTGGCTGCTCTTGCAGAGGATCCAGGTTTGATTCCAGCCACCTGTAACTCCTGTTCCAGGGATCTGATGCCTCTCTTCTGGCCTCCATGGGGACCAGGTGAACAGACATACATGCAGGGAAAACAGTCATACAATAAAGATATAAATTTAAAAGCAAAACCAAAAAATCCTAACTTATGTGTGTGTGTGTGTGTGTGTGTGTGTGTGTGTGTGTGTGTGTGTGTGTGAGCTCGCACATGTATATATGTGGATACAATACATTAAGAGGGCACTGCAGCTGGAGCTACAGGTGGTTGTAAGCTGCCCAACATGGGTGCTGGGAACCAAACTTGGGACCTCCAGAAGAGCAATATATGCTCTGAACTATTGAGTGATTTATCCAGCCCCTAGGGTTCACTTTGTAGAGTGGAAAGTGAACGAGCCACAGAGGTAGCTACTAGATTTTAGGAGCACAAATAAATCCTTGCAGGACAGTCTCATGACTTCCAGTGTCTGGGAATATGAGTGACAGGACCAGCCTGAGTTTGTAAGGAGGGATGACTGTTCAACTGCCTTACGTTTGGTGACTGGCAGGCCGGCGGGTCACATTGCAGACACGGTACTTCCTCTTCATCTGACCACAGTGCGTTATCTCCACCTTTAGACCTGGTGACAGACAGCAGGCATCAGAGTTACCCTTGCCATGCACCTATAGTCCAAACTCCAGTCTAGAATCAATTTGCAGACATGGCAGCTCTGGCCACATTTGAAGCCATAGGCTTCTAGAGCCGAGAAGTAAGAAATGAGGGCTATCCTCAGGATGCCATGGCTGCACCCACCTTGTCCTGAGATGCCAGCACAATTCAGCACAGTAAGATTTGGGTGTCACCACTACCACTCTCTCACAGTGATTCTAGTCCTAACCTTTGTGGCTCAGACAGGACAGGCATCCCAGCTGCTCCCACCCATGTAGTTGTGCTCGTTAGCGCCATGGGCCCCCCTGTGTGAGTCCCAGCTATCTCAGAGTCAGTGTGCCTTGTGGCTCACTCTTCCCATAGCTCCCATCTCCCTCATCAGAGTGGAACAAGAACCCATCCATGCATGGGTGGGGACCCCAGAGGGGGCCCTCACCCCCTAGCCTGTTGCTCTGGGTGGTTCTTTACCTTTTATTTCTTTGGTAAACTTTACCCTTTGGGAATCTGTCAGAGGTTTTTGTTGTTCTTCAATACTTTTAAAATCCAAAACTTCACAAACAAACTCGATCACCGGCTGTGCCTTGTAAAATGCAGTTGCTGACACTGTGCAGGAAAAGCAAGAGACAGACAAGAACATCTAGAGTAATCCATGTGACTAGTAGCAGGCAGCTCAGGAGGCCTGGCCTCAGTTTCTCCTGTATGCTCCCCCGCTCCTCTTATGTAATGAGAAAACCAATGTCCACTGTGCCCAGAGCTCCACACTAACCAAGGAGATTCCATGCTTTTCTCTAGCCATAGGCAATGGTAAGGGATTGGCTGAGACTGAAGAAGTCACCCAAAGAACTACTGCGGTCTTTTTTTTGGTTTTTCGAGACAGGGTTTCTCTGTGTAGCTTTGGAGCCTATCCTGGTACTTGCTCTAGAGACCAGGCTGGCCTCGAACTCACAGAGATCCGTCTGCCTCTGCCTCTGCCTCCTGAGTGCTGGGATTAAAGGCGTGTTCCACCAACAACCGGCGAACTACTGTGGTCTTATAAACAAATCTAGCTTGACACAGAACAGCCAGGACCTTGGACCCTGTAGGCTTTTCTGGCCACCTACTTCTGCCAGAGGCATTTCTGAGGTTTTTCCATTCATGCAATTCTTTTGCAGTCAGTATGAGCCTGAGCAAGATATGACCTAGGGCCTTCCTGGAGCTGCTGCCAAAACTTATCTTCTATGTGAGAGGAGGCATCGATCCTCCTGATTGTTGGTCTCTGGCAGAGGGAAGCGGACTCAAGCACAAAGTATGACCCCTGAGTTTCCTGAAGCAGTGTCCTCCCATCACTGAGAGCTACGTGGATCGTGAGGGCTCTGAACCAAGCAATATATTGATGGAGTCACAGTTGAATGGCATTTCTGGAAGGCTGCAAAAACTCAGACAGAGGTCTCCTGACTGGAGAAGTAGATGGCTGTGGGTGTACCTTCAGGGGAGCTCTTACCCCTGGCTCATTTCCATATGCCTCCTTCCCAGGCACCATGAGATAAGCAGCCATGCTGCATCACAGCCTCTCTGCAATGGTGCTCAGCTTCAGAATGATAGCATCAGCTTATTGTGGACTGAGTCCTCTGAAACCCCCAGTGAATCTTTAACCACTTTAAATGGTTTCTTCTAGGTACTTGTCACAGCAGTGACAGTCAAGCTGGAGGATCAACAGACAACGGCCACCCATTGGCACCTAATGGTGCTCTTCTCTCAGTGTAAACAACTTGAGTACTCAGGAAACATGGAGAGAAAGTGAGGGATGTGGCCCCAACCCCAATACTTGTGGTGTTCCAGCAGTGCACAGGGCCTGGCAGAGTCAGCTCCCCAGGCTGGCTAAAGGGCCCCTGGGAATGGAATACTCCAAAGGCTCCGATACCCAAACACGAACCACCTCAGATACCAAACACACGGTTGACACAGGCTGGTAACATTCCACGTCTCTGGCTTCACCAAAGGCTAGAGATAGCTATGAGAATCCTTCCTAAGGTCTGGCCACCTCTGAAAGCTTTCAAATCTCCGTCCTGTGTAATGCAGGTTGCACGGGCCCCATTCACCCTGCAGTGAAGCCCATAGGCTTTTCTTACCATCAATATTCAGCATCATTTTCCAAAGAGAAGGTCGGACGGACTGATGGAAGCCAAACCACACTTCCCGGCCCCCGCCCAGGGGGTTGGAACAGCCTTCAGACGCAGTGAAGAAGGAACGGCCAACGGGGGTGTACCTGCCAGGGAGACAGCCCTCTCCTAGTCAGAAGGGAGTCAGTCAGGAAGGGCCAGGCTGACTCCATGCTCTCCTCCTGTCATCCCAGCAGGCACACTGACACTCAGAGACCATTCTAGGTTTTTTCCTGTGAAGTCATGCTCATCATATGGAGTTGTAGGCTGCATCCACACAGCGTAAGCAGTAGCTGATGGAGGTGTGAGGGGACCTCTCTCAAGGTTCAGTGTGAGACAAGACCCACTATGATTCTAGCTCAGCCTCACTGTTCCACACTTTGAAGGTACCTTCCTATGACTTTCTCAAAAGGACAAGAGTTAATCTGGGAACAGGCTCTGCCGACAGCTGTGGCTTAACTCATGCAGAATGCAGGCTCTATCTGGCGATTCCCTTCCCTTGCCTCACTCTATTTTCATCTTACACTATACATAGCTGGGCATACCCTTTCAAGTCTTCCTAGTCCAGGGCTGTGCTACGGAGGCAGGAGCAGCAGGCAGAGGCAGCTGGAGCAAGCCAGCTCTAGTAGCCAAACTGCCACTTTTCTGTGTGGCTGAGGACCACCATGGAGCCATAGAAGCTGGCACCTGTTCCCTGTTCACCACAGCTCAGGCAGGAAAGAGGCTGTGGACAGCTCACTGCTTCTGGAGCCTTCGCTCAGTAGTATAAGGATCCACAAGGCCTGCATGTCAGTTATGCACACAGACCCGAGCTAGAACCAACCCACATGCTATGGACACTCTCTAGTGCATCACCTACAGACTACTGGGCACTTGAGATGTGCCACCACGCAGGATGCCAAAGGAAGACTCGGTGTTGGGCTGCAGTAGAGCTAGCACTGTTCATGAATGAAAGTATGGAGTGTGCCCCTCTCCCGTCTCACTTTCTGCCTGTGCTTGTTAATGGTGTTCTGTCTTCTGACTGTAAAAATCAGTGTAAACAATCCAAAGGAATTCAAAAGAAAGGAACCATAGGAATTCCTGATGCTCAATTAAAAGTATAGACAACGTGGCCTGTGAGATGGCTCAGAGGGTAAGGGTGTTTGTTGCCAAGACTGATGACCTGAGTTCCATCCCCGGGATCCACATGGTGAAAAAAGGGAACTGATGCCTACCAAGCTGTCCTCTGACATACACACACACTGGTGGCATGCCTGCACACAATAAAATGAATACTGGTTTGTTTTTAAGCCATAGACAAGATTTTGTTAATCATCATTCCAGGCTATTTCTGTGCCTACCTGCCTCCCCCCTCCATCAACAGTTCTTAGCAATGGCAGGCAGGCCAGGGCTTTGCCAAGAGTGACAGCTGGCCCTGGGATGTAGTCTCTTCTATGCCTAATGTGTAGACAGGGAGCCAAAGGAACACCCAGTTTTATCCAGAGCATAGAGGGTTAGTCCCGGGTCTAACCACTGAGCTTTCTTTCTGCTGCTTACTTCTGACCTCCCAGCTCCATTTCCATCATTCCTAACGTCCCACCGTGTGCTTTGTATGAGAACCAAGTTTGAATGTGGCTTCCTGGCCTTGATCCCATATGTTCTGTCAGGCAACTGGGAAAATGATGAACCACAGAAATGACTCCCGCCCCCTGCTAGGTATGGCAAAGATGGAGCCTCTAATGATACAGGCTGATAATCTGATGCTGGGTATTCAATCAAGCACAAAGTGGGTGTTCACTGCTCTTGACCCTGCGTGGGGCTGTGTGAGCTCAAAGCCAGGAGGTGAACCTGCTGCCCTCAGGCAAGGTCCCTGTCAGGACTCTCACACTATGCTCTCCTCCCCCTCCCTTCCTTGCTCAAGATCCCAATCTTGCTGAACCTTTCTCCCCACCCACGACATGCCCTCACCTCATGGATGGCAAGTGCCTCATGACAACGTCCAGGGCCTGGATCGTCTCAAAGGGGACGCTGGAGAGCCGCCCCGAAAGTGCATCGTGTAACGCCTGCAAGCTCACGCACGACACCCACTTGATGGATACCTTGAAGATACGATCTTTGCCTTCTCCTGGCAGCGTGACCTCTAGTTCCACCTGCCAAACCAAAGCACAAAGGTCATTTTCTCCCCCAAAAGCACAAGAAATTAAAATTTTAACTTTATTTTGTGCAGTAGTGTGCATATGTGGAGGAAGCTAGAGGTCCACACAGGTGTCTCCCTCAGCTGCTTCCCACTTTATATCTTCTATCTCTTTAAACCTGGGGCTTGGCTGGCCAGGCAGTGAGCCCCAGGGGTTTGCCAGACCCCGTCCACTGCACCTGGTGCTGAGGACAGAACTCAGGCCCGACTGCTTTTATGACATGCACTTTACCTACTGAGCTGCTCCCCAAGCCTCAACTGTATTTACTTTTAACAAATGTGCAGTCACGCAGCTATGTGACCAGTGGCTAGCATACTGGACAGTGATCAAAATGCATGCAGGTTAATACTCAGCACATGGGACTCTCAGGACTCCCCAAACATGCCCACTTTTCTCCTGTAACACAATGCCCACTGTGGGATCAGCATAGCGATCCATATGTACAACAGTGCATCATGACTCAGGTGATGATCAAAGTGGCTTTGTTATCTGTTGTTGACACGTCCGTGTTCTTGGAATGCTTTTACCCTTTAGTGCCCAACACTTTCAGCAAGGAGACTGGTTTGCCTCATCTCATATGTTTCACCAGTCACTGAGCTGGCAAACAGCCCAAGGCCTTGGGGCCAGGAAAGGGCAGAGAGGGGACTGGCTTTGGGCTGGCCTACTGTCACTACTCACTGGGAGATACAATCCAGATGTGTGACCAGAACCCAAGTATGGCTGGTGCATCACATGGTACCAACCTAGGTAGGGAAGACGGTGAGCCAGCTACGAACTCAACCTCTGAGGACACTGATACTGAGGTATGCAGCACTTGTTTGGACATCCTTGCAAGATGAAATCAAATTGAGAACAAAAATAAGTGCATTTTGGCACAGCACACCACTAAGAAACAAAGGGAGGAGAAAGCTGCACCCTGACACAAAGAAACAGGGTTTGGGGAGGTTGTGAACACACAGAAGCAGCTGTGTCCTCAAGGTTTCCCTGTCAGCTGCAGGGCCACCTACCCTCATCCCCAGAGATGGAGTGACAGCACCAGCAGTGTCTGGTGCCACAACCACTGTGCTAGCCAGGCTGGAGGGACAGCTGCAGGGCTTGGTGCCATGTATCCCTTCCTGATGGGGACGTGCAGGTCATATCCTGTTTCAGCGGCCCAGGGAGCTGCTGCCTAAAGGTTCTCTGGGAAAGCCTGTGCTGGAGAGGTGGGGTTTTTGTTTGTTTGTTTGTTTGGTTGGTTTTGATCAACTTGACACAACTAGAATCACCAGGGAATAACGAACAATTAAGGAATTGCCTTTATCAGATTGGCCTGTGAGCATTTTCTTAATTAACAATAGATGTAGAAGGGCCCAGTGCACTTTGAGTGGAGCTGCCCCTGGGCATGCAATCCTGGGCTGTATTTAAAAAAAAAAAAAAAAGGGAAAAAAAAAAAAAAAAAAAAAAAAAAAAAAAAAAAAAAAAAAGAAAGTCAAGCTGAGCAAGCCAGTGACTCATGTTCTTTCATGGCACCTGCTTCAGTACCTGCTTCAGTACCAAGCTCCTGCCTTGGCTTCTCTCAATAATGTTTGACCATTAAGTTAAATAAATCCACCTCACCCCCCAAAGTTGCTTTTGTTTTTATCCCAGGAACAGAAATTGAACAAGAATAGAAACTGGGTGTCAGGCTGGGCAGTGGTGGTGCATGCCTTTAATCCCAGCACTTGGGAGGAGTTCGAGGACAGCTCTAATTAGAGAGCAAGTTCCAGGAGAGCCAGGGCTACATTGTCTCAAAAAAAACAAAAGGAAAAAGAAAAAAGAAATTGGTGTCAGAAGTGGGGTATTGCTGTGGTAAACCTGACTATGTTGTTCTTGCTGGAGGTTGTTGGAAGCATTTGGAACTTTGGTTGGAGAAATGCTCAGAGCCTAATGAGCTACTGCTATGGGAGGCTGGCAGAATGTTGAGAGTAGTGAGGACAAGGGAAGACTGGCTTGTGAAGTTTCAAGGGGAAATCTTTTATGCTTTATTGAAACAATTGATGCTGGTCAGCTGGGGCCAAAGAATCAGCTGTGATTAGTAGGGAGATTTTCTTGATTAATGACTGACATGGAGGGTTCAGCGCATTGTGACCTGTGCCACAATTAAGCAGGTAGTCTTGGGTTGGATAAGAAAGTAAGTTGAGCAAGCCATGGGGGGAGCAAGCTGCTAAGCATGATTTTTCAGTGGTCTCTGCTTCAGCCTGTGCCTCTGTTCCTGCTCTGCATTCCTCCCCTGCCTTTCTTGGTGATAGATTATGATCAGGACATGTGAGCCAAGTAAACCCTTTCCCCTCCAAGTTTTCGTGGTCAGTAACAGAAAACCAACTAGAACAGTGGTCCTCTAAACACCTGTACCAAAACCAGTTTCCCTGGTGCATGTGTGAAGTGTTTGGGGGCACAGAAGCACCCTGGCAAGTGACTAGACAGGGACACAAGGGTGGATGTATGTAGGCTTATCTGAGTTCTCAGCAGCATGTCCCAAGTGTCTGGAGGTGTCTCCTGTGCCTCCCCTCCCCAGAGCCTCCTGGCTACAAGACACTTTCAGGTCAGCTTAGCAGCCACAGGCACGGTCTCCCATCCATGAGACGGATTTCAGCTGTAACTTCCATCTAGGAAGGGGACCCTCAACTCTTTCTGGCCCAGGAGGCAGCAACTCAGAATCACAAACCTGTAGGAAGCTGGCAAAAGAAGGCATTGGCTCAACACAATGCCAAGGTAAAAAGAGACTTCATTCCCAAATTTAGAGCAACTGGTATGTAATAGTTCTGTCCCAGCTCAACGTAAGGCCATGGGCTTGGTGAACACAAGTATTCTCAGCCCTCAGGAGCTGTTCTCTTTCCACATGGGCTGCAGTGAGGTGAACACCAATGGAGAAATGAGAATTGTTCTGGAGAGGACCACTTGCTCGTTGGGCAGGTGATGTGATATGGATACCGGCATGTACCCACATCAAGTATTATAGCCCCATTGAGCCACTGGGTGGATGCTAAGCTAATGGACTCAAGGAGAGTCCTTTCTTACTATAGATGGCAAAAAAAAAGAGAGAAAGAAAGAAAGAAAGAAAGAAAAAAAGAAAAAAAGAAAGAAGCCACAAAGATAAAACTTTGCTGGTAGGAAAGGAAAGGGAAACTAGTTTTCACTGGCTCAGACAGAAGGGAAACCCCTGTGCTAGCTGGAAAGTTCCCAAACTTTCTGAGACTCCAGATGCTCTAGGTGCAGGCTAATGCAAACAGGCAATAATGCACCACTACCCCTGCCCGGTGCTCATATGTCTTGGGCAATGGGCTGGAACTCCTCAAACCTTGCTACTTGCACTACACTGTGGGACCAGAGGAGCACACAGAACCCCCAGACCCATGATGAAAGTCTGCATTCCGTCTGAGATCTGAGATGTACTATACATAGGAGAAGTGGGGCTGCCTATCCCACTTCTGTCCTGTCCCATTATTAAGAAAGGCATACCCACACCTATTTTCACCCCAGCCTGGGCTGTTAACTTCTGTGATTGTATGTCTGCATCTGAGCAGCAGAGACACCCCATCCCTCCTTCAGGAGGGCTCTCCTCATGCTCCTCCTAGTGTCTAATTATAAATTTGTACCAACGAAAACTGTGAATAAACTCCTTATGCTTTTCTTTCTTATAGAGCTTTAAACAAAAACAAATGTGCAAATTAAACACTAAACCTTAAGATCAATAAATCTTCAATTCGCAGTCTGTTAATTTGCCAGGGAGAGTTTGCTTGGCTCATTCACACCCAGTCCTGGGATTCCCTCCAACTCGGAACCCTACACCCATCATCCTACCATGGAGTGGCAGTGACAACCCACGTGCCACTGGAGACTGGGAAAGTGAGATCAGAACATGAAACACAGAGCTGTGTAGTCTCTGGCCCTCTCCCTGCCCTAACATAGTACATTCCTTTCAGCACGATGACATGGAGCAGAGCCACCAGGTACTGAGACTGCCTGGCCCACTGGGGATACAGACAAGCACAGAAGAGGCAAGGAACTCGGTCACTTAGCAACACAGCATTTTCAAGTCTGCAGAAAATGTGCCAGTTCCTTCATTGTCAGATGTGTCAAAGTCTGGGTAGAAGCTTTATTATTTTTAAATAAAACCAAAATAAAGATAAAAATAATAAGGGAAGGTATTTCTATGGCCACCTCACCAGCTTGACTCATCCCCCTCCTCCCCCTCCTCCTCATTGCAGAGGAGGCTGCTGCAACACATCCGCTTTATTATGTACACACACACACACACACACACACACACACACACACACACACACACACACACGCACACATGTGCGTGCGGGAACAGGGGCTGTGTCTGGTGGCCTGTGGGTTGCACTAGGGAATGTGTTTGCATTTAACCAGCCTCACAGCAAACCTCAGCACACCACACACCTCATGATGAAGACCCCACCCAGCAGCTGCCCTTGCCTCCCATATGAGGTGATTTTATATATCAGAGAAATAAGTAACCTTGGAACACGAATGAGTCTCACAGCACTGGTTGCCCTGGGCCCCATCCCTTCCAGCCTCACCTTGTCCCTGCCGATTGGAAGGGGCATGGCGGTGTACAAGTTCTTCCTTCCATCAAACACTGGCTTCCGGTCCCCGAAGATCTGGGTCTTGAAGTGCTGAACCATGTGTTCCACTATTTCCCTGAGAAAGAGAATTCAGTAAAATGTCAGTAAGTCCAGGATGTGGCAGGGGGGCTGGCGTCTGCTGATACAAACTAGCTTTGAAGCCATTTTAGGAGACTTGGGTTTCTGACTGTTGTGTGGCTTTCCATCCTGGGAGGTAGGGGTGAGGGGTTGGGGGAAAATCAGTCAAGAGCCTGAAGTGGGCTTATCTCATTTTCCTGGTCACACAAATGTGACAGAATGTCCTCATGAGTTCCACAGGACAGAGGGTGGATGTTACTGTGACCTCAGAGTGCCAGGTGCACCAAAGGGTAGCCATTGGGATTTCTGTCCCAAAGTTGTAGACTAGACACCCATACATCTTGTGAGGCTGAGTGTCTCCCATAGTCCACAGACCACATTTTCAGACACACAACAGGGCACCACAGTTATAGCTGTCACTGGCATTGAGTACAAACCCCTCACCCACCCTTCCCCAAGTCAAGTAGAGTAGCTACAGAGACATCTAGGAGGAAGCCCTGCACTGAACACCAAGCACACACGAGGTTCCTGACCCCACCAAGCTGTTGAAGTGAGCCCATGAGAACACTTGTGCACTCTGCCCAAGAGTAGCCCACATGCTAAACACAAGGATAACAGCAGCAAGCCACTTGGCCTTATCCTTGCTGATGGGGAACAACTCACTCCATCTCTTGAGAACCTACAGACCACACTGCCATTGATGTTTTATATGAAGGGACAAGGAGGCACAGAGCCACAAAGAGCAAGGGGCAGTCTAAGAGGCCACTAAGGCCTCTCTCTCCTGCATCCTACTTCCTAAATCCTAGGAACTGCTGTGCAATACCCTTGCTGGCTGTTAACTTTTGCTACAGTTCTGAAAGTTTTTTTTTTACAAAACAAAAACAAACAAACAAAAATGAATACTTCAGTGAATTTCTAGTTATGCTGGTTTTATGTTACTGCATCCTCACTGTGACAAACGGCTAAAGGTCTGCTCAGACTGCTACCTAGCCCAGCCTTCCCACGAGTGTATGAACAATCCAAGCTTTTACACAAACACAGACCTGTTAATTTTTTAAATTGTTGTATTTTATCTTGTTTTTTGAAAAAAAAAAGGTTTTGTTTTATTTTTAATTGCATGCATTGTGTGTGGGTGTGTGCATGCAGGTGCAGTACCATGGAAGCCAAAGGATTCCCTGGAGCTGGAGCTACAGGTGGCTGTTGTTACTTGATGTGGGGGCTGGGAAATGCACTAATCTTCCTGCCATAGCCTCCCGTGTTCACTGTGTTTTCACGGGTAGCTATCTGGGGCCTGATGTTGTCCTACTATATACCTTAAGAAATATGTTCTTGTTACTATGTACAATGAAAGCACACCACTTATAAATGTAGATTATCAACAAGCCATAACAGCAGGTGAGTCGCTGAACACACGCTCCCTGTTGTCTCTTAAGGGTTGGCATTCTATCCCTTTGAGATAATCCCTTAAAACTACAACTAGGCCAGGGGGTATGTAACATTTGAACATGTGTACGTGTGTGTGTGTGTGTGTGTGTGTGTGTGTGTGTGTGTGTGTGTGTGTTGGCTGTCTTCTAAAACCTCTAAAGTAGTCTCTATCACAGGAGAGGCTTAAGTCATGGCCAGGAAGAAAGGGACATGGATGAGCTGGTGTACACTTCCCCCCGCACTAACTGTATTTTGGGCTAGTCTAGCCTTGTCCTCAAGCAACATGAGGCCTAGCTATTCCTGAGGGCTGGCTGTATAGGACTCTAGTTACTAGAGTAGGCAGGACTGAGCTTGAGGGAGAGGCATATGGCCCTGTGAAGAGTGAGGCACAACAGGAGTCACCATGCATGGTGTCACAGCCTTAAGGTTGGGCCCATGTTGGCTTTCACACAGATTGCTATGCATGGAACAATGGGCAGGGGATGGGAGCAGGGGCAGGGTGGGGACAGCATGAAATCTGTCCCCAGCACCCAGCTGCCTTCCTACTGAGTCTACTGCCAAGCTGTCCTGCTGTGCTCTTCTCCACGAGGGATGAGAGTGGGATCCTAGGGGACACAGTGTCACCACCGAAAGCACAAAATACTGGCTTGCTTCAAGAGGGGAGATCCCACAATTGGGTACAATACTATTTCCAACATTACACCACTTTGACCATCATAATCTTGAGACTGGACCCATTTAAGGCACACCACAATTAACAGTAAAATAAAGAACATTAAAGGTTTGCATGTTTAACCAGCCAGAAGCTCTCACAATAATTTGCAAGCCCTGGCTGGCCTCAGTCTGTAGTTCCCAGCCTCCTCAGTTGCTGAGCAACTGAGCTGACGCAGTTTCTAACCATGGCAACCTCAGCTTCTTACACACATGATGGTGACAGATCACGTGACCACTGCCAGCCACATGCCAGTTCCTGAAGCAAGCCCGAGTCACACCTCCTTTCGGAAGGGGTTTCCTGAATGCTATGTATGGCATGGCAAGAGCTTTACAGGAACCACAAAGCCCAAACAACAAAAGTGCCTTTTCCCACGGGTCATTCCAGTCTGGAGGGTGCACTCTACAGCACTGAGACCCCCTAAGTTTCTGTCACAAGAAGCTAGCAAGCAGACTGACACACCCACTTATCAATCTTCAGTGAGACAAAGCAAAAAACCTGGGAAGACTCTCAGCACTGACAGACGCTCAGTGCAGTGGGCCTGTGGCTTTTGTGCAGAAACATACTTGTTACTGCACATTGACAGGATCTCATCTGATGGTAACATATCCTAGGCACACTGTTCAGCAGGTTGGATGACAGACTCCTAAGACATCATTCTCCCCCAGCATTTGTTACAGGAGAATGAGCACCAGCAAAGGGTTCTTCCTTCACCAGGCACCAGCACCCCCGCTCCCAGGGCACCAGGCTGTAACTCAGATTACATCTCTCCCATGATGCATTTGGCTTTGGACTTAGCCTCTTGCCTTAAAATGTGCACAGAAAACAGGAGGCAGCTATTTGGGGATTAAGGTGATGAGGGATGGGAATGGGCTCCTCATTCATTTGGGCATCCTTGCCCTGGAACAGTTTTCAAACCACAGCCCAGGAGATCAGTAGAGGTGGAAATTTCTGGGCCAGAAAAGATAGCAACAGGATTGATTCCCTCAGCACACTGTACACTGCATCCCACAAATGGACCAAAATGACAGCATGGGCATGCAATGGAGTACAACGTAAGGGAGACCCTGTGCTGTGACAAAACCTCAAGGAAAGGAAGCCAATGAGTGAGCGAGATCAAGGGACTGTCCACAAGCACAGATGCAGCTTTACTTATGGTTCCAACAGACCAAAAGTAATCTTCAAGGGGCCAGCAAGACGGCCATCAGTGAAGTGCTTGCCAGAGCATGAGGAACTGAGCTGGAGAAGCAAAGACAGCTGCATTCTGGGAGCTCACAGGCCACCCAGCCCAGTCCAATCTGTAAGCTTCAGGTCCAAGTAACAGATCCTGACTCTGAAACAAGGACAACACACAAACAATGACACACAAGGCGGACCTCTGGCTTGCACATGCACACACAAGGACACACACGTACACACTCACATTCATCACACACACACACACACACACACATTCATACACACAAGAAAAATTACCCCAATTGAAAAACATGACCTAGTATATGTAGAGCAGCGATTCTAAAAAGGAGAGAGAAAGAGGCTTTGAGAAACCAAGGCCAGTATTGTCCCACAAAAGACCAAGACTCAAGTCCAAAGACATTGAATCCCAAGAAAATTAAACATGGCACATTGTAGTCATAACAAAAAAGCAATACAAAAACTAAGAAGAGGGGTTGGGCGGTGGTGGTGCATGTCTTTAATCCCAGCACTCAGGAGGCAAAGGCAGGTGAATCTCTGTGAGTTCCTAGCCAACCTGGTCAACAGAGCAGGTGGGAGTGATCCTTTTGCTCCCCTGCCCCACCCCCTGTGCTAAGATTACAAGTGTCAGCCACCATGCCCAGTGTAAGTCGCTTATAAGTAAGAATTATCAAATATAAAGGGAGACAGCTCCTAATTATAAAGAGTCAGTTTGTGGTGTGCTGGCCCACACGTCTTTAATCCCAGCACTCAGTCATGGGCAGGTGGATCTCTGCTACTTCCAGACAAGCCTGATCTATACAGAGAGCTTCAGGCCAGCCAAGATGACACAGTAAAATTCTGTTTCAAAAAAAAAAAAAAAAGAAAGAAAGAAACATAAAAAAACAAACCAAACACACATTTAGGGCCAGAGAGATGGCAAGCCAGTGGGTAAAGGTGCTTGCTGCACCATCTGACAACCTGAGTTCTATTCCTGGGTCCCACATAGTGAAGGGAGAGATCCAAAAAAAGAAAGTTAACGTGTGTGTGTATGTGTGTATGTGTGTGTGTGTGCATACGTGAGTGTGTAATGCACACGCGCACCCAGAAGCAATTTATAAATGTAATTTTAACATATTTTAAAAACTAAAAGGTACAACAATTATGGACAGTACCTGTCTATTAACAGAGCTTCAGGATACATGAAGCACAAGCAGAAAATACCACTGGCAGAGAAGCAAGTCCACATCATATTTGTGTCAGAAAAATAAAAGACTGTAAAGGGTTGGACTAAAATTATCAACCACCTCCACCCAAGACCAGAGCACACCTGCCCCCATCATGGTGAATGTTTCTCAAGAGACTCAGCTCTCTTCTAACTAAATGAAAATCACAAGTAAGCCCGAATCAGAGGAAATGCTCTGCACAAAGAAGTTGTAAAAGAAAACAGTTGACACTGGCCTGTGAGCAGAGACTGAGCAGGGTTAAGAATGGAGATCGCAAAAACAGAGGCAGAGAAAAATCAACAAGGTAAAAATGTTTGTTCTTGGCAAAGAACTGAAGAAACCATAACTCCTAAGCAATCACAGCAATTTAAAATACTCAGGCTGAAAGGAATCTATACAGGGCTCAGAGACAATAAGGAACACATGGAAACTGGCATGGTGGCGCACATCTTTGATCCCAGCACTTGAGAGGCAGAGACATTCAAATCTCTTTTTTGAGACTAGCTTGGTCTATACAAGAGCCTGTTTAAAAAATAAAAAAACGAGTATACACACACATACACACACACACACACACACACACACACACACACACACACACACACACACACACACCCCTCACCACATATTATGAACAACTAACTTTCTGCTGGGAAATTCAGTAACTTTGATGACATGTATAGATTCCTTGAAAACACAAACTACCCAAGTATGCACAGATGAGACAGAAAAAAGAGACTATCCTGATATGAGAGGAAAAAATTAAGATGCATGAAACATTTCCTATGTTTCCAGCCCATTTCAATGACAAATCCAGGAGGTATTTAATGGTGGAATTACACAAATCTTATATATTTTTTCCTTCCAGTCTATATGTGTATGAGGTCAGAGGGCACCTTCCACCTTGAGACAGGATGAGAAGGCCAGACTAGCCTCTCCTGTCTCCCCTTTCCATCGCATCACAGGAGCAATGAGATTGCAGCCATGCACTACCCTGTCCAGCTCCATGTGGGCTCTGGGAATTCAAACTCAAGTCTTTCCGCTTGTTCAATAAGGGTTTTTCACCTATTCAGCCCCTCAGCCCTTTGCTCTTACACAGTGCAAAGAAGGAAGACTTTGCAACTTTTTGTATTAAATGCTACATAACCCTAACATACAAACATAATAAAAGAAGACAATTGCAGACCGCGTGCCACAGAAACAAATTCAAACCAGTCCTATATAGAGAGAATACATCATGATTCCCAGAGATGCACAGCTCATTTTTTAGAAACCACAACTCATGTTAGCATAAAAAAATGACAAGATATTGACCAACAACTCAGCAGTGATAGAATCCAGCTGACTGTTGGAGACTGCCTCAGAGGATAAGGACAAGCGCTCTCTGTGAAATCCTATATCTACCATCACATCCTGAAGATGAAGAGCCGACTGCTTCCCAATTAAAATCAGCAAAGGACAGGTTGGTCTCTGCATTGCCCACGCTCAATATCCTGCTGGCTTTCCTCCACACTGCACTAAGGAAAGAAATAAGACGCATTGTACACTGAAAAGAAAGAAGCCAAACAATCCTTATTAAAAACCATGTTAAAGCTGGGGCTACAAAGATGGCTCAGTCAGTCAGTGGTGGTTAAGAGCACTAGCTGGTCTTGCAGAGGATCAGGTTTGGTTCCCAGCACCCACATGGTAAGTCCCAAACACCTGTTACTCGAGTTCCAGGGGATCTTATTCCCTCTGGCCTTCGTGGGCACCGCATGTACATGGTACATATACAATACACATAGGTAGACACTCAAATACATAAAAACTGTTAAGTGAACTACATCCACATAAAATTAAATTCACCCCTAAAAGTGTATAATTCAATGATTTAGTGAGTTGAAATTTTGACACCCAATCCACCAGTGTAAGTTTGGTGCATGCCCATTGCCCCCAAATAAGCCTCCATACTCCTTGGCTGGCACTCATCTGCACCTGAAAATGACATTTTAAGATGCTAGTTACAAAATCAAAGAATTTAACAATTTAGATTCGAAACAATTGTACTTTAAAATTTCCAAGGGCTTTATTGTAAAAAGCAATTGGCTTTTTTCCCCCTTCTTACTATTCTCTTGGGTCTTTGTTTGTTGTTTGAAGTAAAGAGCTAAATTTGGAAAAACAAACTTGGAGAAGTCAGCAGTGTGAGATTTCAGCCCAGGGTTAAGGCTGAGCGCCTGCCTATCATATATACCATGCACAAGACAAGCTGATGAATTATTGGCCTAAAGAGAGCAAAGCAGGTACCAAAACAGCCCCATGCACAGCTGACTGACCCTTCCTTTCAAAGGTGCCATAATAAATAGAACAGAAAAGACCCTTCAATACTTCACCTCATAATGTACACAAAAACCAGTTCAGGATGGAGCATAGACCTGAACACAAAAGCCCAAACTCTAATTCTCCAAAGAAATCAGGATCTTTATGACCTCTGTTGACATAGACTTCCTAGAGAGGATACCTGCCATTTCTGAAAGTTTATAAACTGACCTTCAACAAAACTTGGAAGTTTTACTTATTAAAAGGTACTATTTTAAAAAACAAAACATAGAGCCAGGCGTTGGTGGTGCACGCCTTTAATCCCAGCACTCGGGAGGCAGAGGCAGGCGGATCTCTGTGAGTCAAAAAAAAAAAAAAAAAAAAAAGGGGGGGGGGCTGGGAGGGGATGGCACACAACTTTTAATCCCAGCACTTGGGAGGCAGAGACAGATGGATCTCTGTGAGTTTGAGGCCAGCCTGGTCTACAGAGTGAGTTCCAGGACAGACTCCATAGCTATAGAGAAACTCTGCCTCAAACAAAAGAAAAAAAAAAATGCTAATATGAAAAGAAATCAGATTCAGACTGGAGAAGAATTTTCCCAACGGAGACCCCCAGATCATGCAGAAGGTGTCAAGAACCCCTCATGAGAAAGGGGAAGATGTTCATCTTCCCCCTCATCAAGGGGGATGAGGAGGAAAGCCACAGAAGCAGCCACACACCCAGAAGAGGAGAGGAAATGGCTCCAATGCTGACAGGTGTGGATAAACCAGCCCACTCTCCTAGACCCAGGTAGTGAAACTCACTCCTCACCCTGGCAATTCTGAGAAAGGAAAGCCCATATCCAGTCAAAACAGGAAGACAGAAAGAAGAGGGTCTTCTTTCAAGGGAGCTTCATTCCTAACAGCCTAAGCTACCCAGGCGTTAACAGGAAGATGAAAGGATCAATTATCAATACTCAATCAAGGCTAGGAGGTGGTTTAATGGATAAAATGTTTGCCACACAAGCATGAGGACTATAATTCAGATCACTAGAGCCCATGCAAATGCCAGCTAGTCATGGCAACCAATAGTGGAGAAAGGGGAGTTCCAGAGAAAGCTAGACTAGCAGTAACAGAGAGCTCTGGATGTAAACGACAGACCTTACCTCCATGAGTAAGACGGAGAGTGATGGAGGAAGCCGCTCACCATCAACCTCAGGACTCCACATACACACATGGACATCTACCTGCCCTCACACATGCAGACACACAATTCAACGCTAAAAATTACTACTATAGCAAAGAGAACAACACAGATGGATCTCAAAAGACAATGCTGGAGCACAGAAGTGAGGCCCGACAGTGAGATACCTTGTTGCAAGGCTTCTGTGGGCAGGAAATAATGTAAGCTGATAAAATTGCAACTATGTGGCTTTAGGGCAGGCTAACTAACTGGAAGAAGGTGATGTATCAACACCTGTTCAAACTCCCGGAGCAGGGCATTTACAGTGTGGGGATTTCAGTGCACTCAGATTACATCTGAATGCCAAAACCATTTAAAAAGTACATCACAGCAGCTACATGGGAAAGAATCAGAAGACTGACGAGCGTCTGTGAGTCAATGAGGTACACAGATAGGCGGGAATACCTGTTCACTCTTCTTGGGCATTTCTCTGGTTTGATGTCCAGTTCATAGTGATAGATGTCAATTTTGGGGATGTCCATTTCAAAGAAATTGGCCTGTAGTTTGATTGTTCTCCCGGAAGTGCCGAAGTCCGGCCGAGGTGGAGGCTTGAAGCCATATCCTTGGAGAGGTGATGTTGTCGGAGCAGGAGACGCAAGAACTGGAGAACAGTGGAGAGAGAGCAGAAATTAGGGATGGCCAACTCTGACTTGTTCATCAGAATCACAGTGCACAACCCAACCTTCCCGCACCTTTGGGTCCTGAGTCCCACGCCTCTCCATGTGTTCCATCTTGCTTTCCCCACCTTATCACAGAGACCCCCACCTACCAGGGCCAGGGGACACAACGGCGGGTCTACCACTGGCAGCTTGCTGTTCAGTCAGTGACTGTGCCAAACCCTCCCCCACCAAGGTCTTCTCCTTGTTCTCCCAGATCACTAAGACAGGTTTTCTCTGTTGGAGACTTCCATCTCTCATCCAAGGCTCAAAGAGAGTCCACACTGTGGCCACAGCAAACTCCCATTTCTTCAGTGTGACTGAGACCTAGCACACCTTACTTCTCCTGCTTCCCAGTGGGTCAACCAGCCTTCTGTGTTCCCCAGCTGGAGATGCCATCTGATCATGCACAGCCCCAGCATAGGAGCTTTGGGTGGGCTTGGGGTGGGGTCCCATCCAAGTTTCCAGGTACTCTTCCAGACATCTGGCCTCGAGTGTCACATATCATACACGCCCTGACTCTCAAATCAGCACCTCTGTGGCTCTCCAGCATCTAGTCCATGTGCCCAGGTGCATGACAGTGCCCAAGAACTCAAGCCATTTCTAACCACTGTCCCCACCCATGTCAGGAGCCATCACCTAGGATGACTGTACCCCCCTCTGTCTCTCCTCCAACTCCATTTCCCTTTATTCCCACCCCAGAGTCAGTCTGTCATGCTGTGCTACCATCCCAGGTTTGAGATGGTGCAACAGAAACCCAGACACACCTGATGGACTCTCCGCCACTGCCCAAGGAAGCTGGGGCTCACACACTCTCATCAGTGTCCAGCTTTCCTGCCCCCAGTGATCACACATATGCAGCCCCCCACCCCCACCCCAGCATTCACAGCACCTGTGACATTTTCTGACTTCCGCAGGTACTCATGGCTCTTTCTGGCCCTAGAAAGTATCACTCAAGAACCTCAACCTGGCAATGGACCAAGCTATATTTCCTGAAGTAGTGGTTTCATTTGTTTTTGAATTTTATATGCATTGGTGTTTTGTCTGCATGTATGTATGTATGTATGTATGTATGTATGCATATATGTATGTATGTATGTATGTATGTATGTATGTGTGAGGGTGTTAGAACTGGGGTTACAGGCAGTTGTGAGCTGCCATGTGGGTGGCTAGGAATTCAACTCTGATCCTTTGGAAGATCAGCCAGTTCTCTTAACTACTGAGCCATCACTCCAGCCCCCAGAGGTAGTGTTTTAACACTGAGCCAAACATCAACTTCAGGTGTGCTGAGACGACCCCTTCTAGCTGTTGGCCAATGGTGTGCAGTGGGTGGATGTGGGGTGGGAATAGAGGTGTGCTGTGGTGACTAAGGTTATTACCATCCTTGAGTTTCCCTGTGCTGCCTATGGGGAATTGGAGTGATGGAACAGAATGCATTACTAGTAAGGAAAGCAAGACCCACCAGACAAGGCTTATCTGTGACACAAGTCAGAATAGTCAAGGCAAAGGTGTCCCCTCTGCTGTTCAAACCCTTTCTGCTCTTGTTGTGTAGTCCTAACTGGCCTGGATAGAGCAGGCTGGCCAGCCTCCAGCTTACAGCTATTCTCCTGTCTCTGGAGTTCATAAAGCAGTTGCAGACATGTACATAGCTAACTACTTTGGATGTAGTTGTGGGAAAGTGTCACACCAACTCCAACCTCAGGAAAGGACAAATCACAAATTTAGGAAGACTACAACTGTGTGTGTGTCGAGTGCTGGGATTAAAAGTGTTTGCCACCCCTTTAAGGTTTCAGAAGACTCATGACATTCCCAGTATGCTTTCTGTTTCCTGCTTATGGATCTATATGCAAATTATCAGTTGTTGCTCCAGTATTTACCCCCATGTCTTTGTTCTGCCATCATAAACGCTAACCCTCTGAAACTGTTAGCCCAATTAAACTCTTCCTTTTGCAAAAAAAAAAAAAAAAAAAAAAAAAAAAAAAAAAAAAAAAAAAAAAAAAAAAAAGTCAATAGACATGTGGTCCCTGCTTTCTGGTGGTCCCCACTGGTCCAAGCTCAGACACACTCATTACCTGGGAGCCAATAGCCACACCCAGCCAACAGGTTGGGCATACCCCAGCTTCCAAAGGCACCCCTGGGGAGCAAAGAGCCCAGGGTCCTCCCTCCTGTCACAGCTGACCTAGCCTAGCCTAGACCTAGCCTAAGCACTTATTTACAGAGGTCCACTTTTCAGATCACCTGAAAGCCCCTCCTCTTTGCACCAGCCATGAAAACCAAGGAGCATCATCAACCAGGTGGGACTGCAGGCAGATTAATAAAAGGAATGGGGAAATATAAAATGTGATCTCACAAGATACTTTTTCCATTACTTCTGGAAAGAATGAAAATGTAGCCACTTCATAGAAAAGGCATGTAGAATACAAAAATCTCAATTGGACCATACAAGTTCTCTGGCCTAGACATCTTCCCAAGTACTATGATCCATCTTCTGAGATTCCAGTCCTGAGAGCACCAGAGAGGCCTATTTTTATCACTCCTGGGGAGTCCCAAGTACACACTGGCAAACAAGCAGGAGGCTTGGACCTGAAGCTTTGAAGAAGCTGGATCTTCAGGAACAGAGCTCCATGAGAAAGGAGCAGAGCCCCAACAGCTCAGCTTGTGTGGTGCAGGCTCTGGACCTGACAGGTAATGTGCCGAGTGAAAGACACCCTCACACTCCTCCCGTCTGACACTGATGACACTGAGACAAGTGAGGGAAAGCATTGAAAACTCCCTTGCTGTGCTGCCCTCTCTCCAGCCCGCAGACACCTGCCGCCCTCCTCCCCAACCCCAGGCAACACACACACACACACACACACACACACACACACACACACCCTCTGGCAACCTTTCTCCTAGGCATGTTCTAAATATGTTTCCAGTTCTGTCTTCTCAGGAAGTGCTTGGGACCAGGAAGAAAACTTCTGTCTTTCACCAAGGAGTCCATGAATTCTTGTGGTTAGAAGGGACCCAGGTGGCCACAGGGAGGGGCAGTGTCACCCTTCAGCATGTCACTGGAGCAGGTTCCCTGACAGGGAGACTCCCAGGGACAGCGCAGGCACCCCATGTTTGCTGACTCCCTCATCACTTAACAGGTTTGTTTTAGAGCTCCATTTTTAGAGCCACATCACAAACAGCGAAAGGGAAACACAAAGAGTGAGTAATCGACTTCCTGTATGAGCAAACGGGTCCAGAAGACCAAGAGATTTGGTGTTTGTGACAGATGCCAAAAGAGGCGCCTGTGAGCAAGCCTGCCGGGAGTACAGGATGGCCTCAAAAGCCCCAGGAGAATCAGGGAACCTGCACTAGCACAGGCTTTATGAAGGAAGGCAGACACACAGGGACTCCTACCCCGAAGCCTACCCTGCCCCCACCGTCCAGCAGCACCCCTGGCCATGGCTCTCTAAGGGACAGTATTACTACACTCTGGGACTGATTGTGCTCAACTCAAGCACAAACTCCAAACCCAGATAAGGAGTGAGGCACTAGGGGGTTAGGGGATACTATGTATGTCACAACTGGGTCCTGGAAGCAACTTAAAGGACACCTACATAAGACTTGGAATACCCTGGGTCCCCAGCACAAATCTGGCCCAAGCCATTAGTGCTACAAGGGCCTCAGTCTCCCTCATTATGACTGACTGACTAACAGCTGAGCAGATGGTATAAGGAGAGAACCATGGGAAGCAGGTCCACACCACATTTTCAGGGGTGTGTGGCAGCAGCAGGATGGGCCTATTTTTCCTTAGGTGCTCTCAGGCACCTAAAGAAGGGTCCTAAAGAAATCCGGTGGCTTAGCCCTGGCAGCCCAGGTTACCATCACACTGCCCACTTCTTGCAAGTAGGAAGTGTGTATGTGTGTGTGTTGTGGGGGGAAGGGGGAGCTGGATGATGTTGGAACATCACTTACAACCCAGACCAGTACTGTTTAGTCAAAAGTTGCTGGGAGAACTTGCTTCCTGGGGGGTGTGGGGCAGCCCTGGTTGGAATGCCCAGCCCACTTCTTCCAGGGCGGTCAGGAAGTGAGTGAGAGACAAACTGTCTTACCCAGGGAGCCCTGCTGCTGCAGGATGGTGAGCTTGCCTGGCCACAAACCACTGCCAAGCAAGGTCTTAGTGCCTTCTGGCTCCCTCTCCTTACAGGGCCCAGGGGCAGGAGGACTTGCCACCCTGCATACATTGCTCCTCACCTAGCCTGGCCCTCTGCACAGGAATTTTCTTAGCCAACAGCACATGTGGGGACTAAGTGAAGGGGCCTAGCTAGTTTAGTGTCTCTTCAACATTGAAAATAAAAAGTTACAGAAGAAAAGAACAAATGAAAGCACAGAGATTATCATAAGACAGTCCCTGTAAGAAGAGCCTTTTAGGTGTGCATGTACCAGCTAGACCTGACTTGGTTTTTTCCACCCCTTTCTTCATTTAACATTACACTAGGCCCACACCCCAGTCCCTAAAGAACTACCTCAGTGCTTTCCAAGCTGCCTCTGGACCACTCAGAGACTGGGACAGCCTGCCGGAAAGAACATGCCTCCATCTCCATCTGGGGACAGACTCAGACACACAGCAGGGCTTCACAGGCTCCTCCCTCGGTGCTGGCCTTCCAGACACATGTGTCCTCTTTAGGCTGTAGCATCTAGCCTCCAGCTTCTCAGTTCTGTGAGCTCATCTGTGGCCAGGGCACCTAACACAGCTTAGAAGCCCGTCATAGGTCGCTCCTGGTTGGATGACACTTCCTAGCACCCATCATGTACCATGGACACAAAGACCCGACAGGAGCCAGAGGTTACATGCACTCTGTGGGTCCTCCCATACAACCCACCCTCACCCAGAACATCACTTTCCTTCTTTCTTTCTTTTTTTGTTTTGCTTTTTGTTTTTCAAGACAGGGTTTCTCTGTGTAGCCCTGGC